GTGGGAGGGGCCGGGCTGGCCGGTGAGGAGGTCATGCGCAGAGGCGGAGTGCCAGCAGAAGCACTCTGGTGGACAGGGGCGCTCGGCTAAGCGCGGTCGGGCTCCCGGCCGCCGGGTCGGCCTTCAACGAGCAGCTGCAGGGACCGAACCTCCAAGCTGAGGCGCCGAACCTCCAAAGTCAGATCCGAGACGCTGGCAACGAGAAGGGCCAAAGTGGAGTCCTGAGAGCTCATAAAACTAGAGCACACGGAACAGAGGCCCAGGCCGAGCGCGGAGCACAAGCAGTCGCTCACGCACAACAGAAGACCACCACACCCTGAAGAGGTAAAGCAGGTCAATGGCAGGGCCAAGGAGGAGCCCGAAGAGGATCCCGAGGAGAAGAGAAGGCCAGTGAATGGACTCCGGGAATTCGAGCACCGGACACACGAGAGGCAGGGAAGGCGGTGGTTCAAGAACACCGGGGAGAATGTCATCCGCAGCCCGAAAAAGCAACGAAGCCAAGGAGCCCCCCAACAGGGAAGCCTGCACGGGCCTAAGGGCCATCCAAAGCCTTAATCCGAAAAGCTACAAAGAGAGGCTCAGAAAGCATGCTGAAGTCATGCATGCATGCACATTAGCGTACGCACGCACGCACGCACGCACGCACGCACGCACGCACGCACGCACGCACGCACGGATGGATGGATGGATGGATGGATGGATTCATGGATGGGTTGATGCATGTACGTGTGCGTGAAGGTATATGTAGTTGGGTGTGTATATATGTATACATATATGTAGATGCATACACTTATATACATGTACATATCTGTGTGTGTGAGCAAGGCACTAAAACAAAAATACAGATGTGCATATCATGTCCTAGCATGCGGTGGCATCCGCGTTGAGCAGCAGCCTTCGCACTGCCCCTCAAGCGTCCAGCGCCCTCGATGAACTCTGAAAGCCTTGGAGGGCCAGGGGCCAGATGCACAACGAGGTTGGACCCTGCACAGTCAGCTGTTGCTAAGAGAATTTGCATGCTCCCAGTGTTCCAATTGGCCCAAGCCACGTGATCTGGCCATCGCCTGGCAGGGCTTCATAGGAAAAAGAACGGCCTCTTAAGTGGAGAGGGACCACCGCCAACCCCATCACGAAATCCTTGTTCCTTGCCTAGTCCGTGATCCTTGCGAAGAGTTGCCAAGAGCTTGCGTCTGAGGCGTAAAGAAGCTCCTATGACTGGGACAGCCTCAAGGCTTGGATCCCGGTTTCAGGAAGTCCAAAAAAAACCACGTGCCCTTGCGGCCCTTGCGGCCCTAGCCCTGACCAAGGCGCCGTTGTCCAGGAACTCGAAGAGGCTCAGCAAGTCGTGGTACTCCAACCTGTGCTCTCCCAGCTTCCATAAGGGTCACCATTTCTCTTGGGTTTCATAAACGGTTTTGCTGGGGATTCGTTTGGCTGCTAGTACAAAGAAGAAGGCATGTGGGAGTCTCAGCCCGAGCTCAGCTTGCGCGCGGTGCTCGTCTTGCGCCGCATGCGATGCTTCGGGTGCGCCGCCTTTCGGCGACGAGGCAGAGAAGGGCCGGTGACCACAACCCTTGGTTTGGGATGCCAAGAGATGTAGAGTTTTCCCTCGAGACGGGAGATCTTCGACCTCGCTTCCTCCGCTCCCGCACGGCTGCGTTCCCCACCAGCGCAGGTGTTCGGGGTGCGCTCAAGCATGAAGCAGTTTTGGCACTTAGCAACTGACTGGAGCTGGACACGGCATGTCATGTTTACGACTCGGCACAGCAGGCACGGCAGTGCATGGAGCCGTCTGACTTTCATGAGTAGTTGCCCTTTACAGGCCGCTTGTGCAGTCGCGGGCCCTTGTCTACGCAGTTCTTCTTGCCCATCTCCTGCCAATGTGCAAGTTCCACACACCTATTGAGGCCGCCCCCCAATGAAGCACAGTTGGATGGAAAGGGTCTGACTTCGGTGCAGGGAAGCCTTGCGCTCAAGAAAGCGGTACTCCCCTGCGGTCCGAGCAACTCCAATTGGCTCATCCAGAAGCTCAGCTTGGGTGACTGCACCAGCTTTTCGAACTCCTGTGCCCAGGGAGCTGTCACGAAGTATCAGGCTATTGGGATCGTGCGATCGGAAGTTCGGTCTGCGAAAACAAAACAAGGAGCCTGGCTCGATCTTCCACCACTGCAAAGCTTCCCTCCTCGTCCTACCGCCCTGTTCAGAGGCTGTTCTAGTCCTGCAACATACCTCCCTGCGGACAGCATGTGATCGGACGAATGGCTCCCCTTGAGTGGGAGGAAACGCAGGATGGCAAAGCGGAGCAAAGCACGGCACAGACAAGAAGAAAAAACCGCACGCTCAGCACGCGCAGCCTCCCCGGCCAGCCTGAGAGCGGCGTGCGGCGTAGCGTGGCGGAACGGCGGGAAAGCGCATCGCACGTGCGAGGCGAAAGCATGCACGAGCGGAGCGCGCGAGCACGATCTCTACAGAGCTTTCGATGCTACGCTATGCTACGCAAGGCGTCCTCTGCAAAGCGCATCTTCCCCTTTACAGAGACGCAAGTCCAAGTGTGGCCTCCAAGTTGATCGCACCGTCTCCAGAAGAGTCGATGGTTTGAAAGAGCTTCCGCACCTGAGCGGTCCGCGCAACACACCGGGAGGAGGGGGAGGACTCCGCTTTCAGGTTCGAGTTTTCAGGTGGGAGATGGCAGACTTTACGGATGGCCAAGCAGGGCCCAGCTACTTAGCTACTCTGAGAGGCAGAAGCTTTCAAGCTCCGACTCCCCTCCAAGCGGCTTTCCGATTGTACTGAGAGATGTCCTTCTCCTCCCAAGGTCTGTTGCGAAACTCTACAATATGCAACGCAGCATGCACAGGGCATCCCGGATTAACCGACCCTGAGCGGGATTGGGAGCCTGCGATAGAGTGTCGGCCATGGGTCTTGGCGGGCAGTAACTTGCGGGTCTCTGGGTTCGACCACACGTCACAGGCGGAACTTGGTAGCTTGGACCTCGTGACGGCAGTCGCCGACGCCAATGGCATCTTGTTGAATGTCCAGAGCCGGAACAACGAATCCCCGGCCAACGGCCCCAATGCTTACCCCGGCTGACCCACGGAATCTGACCTTCTGCTTGAAAGCCAGCTCTTCGTCGGAAGTGGCGGTTTTCATCGTCTGCCTGCATGTGTGTCTCTGCATGTTCACTGGATGCTGTTTTACTATCTGTTTCAAACTGTAACTAAAGAAGGACCCAGAGCAAGTTACCATGCCGCCCAGGTGCTGGACAAACACTGAGTTTACCTCAGCGTCGCAGAGCGGGAAAGCAGCAGAGCTTTTCGGGTGGCAGCTGAAACAAGGCTCCTGGGAGGGCTCCGGAACGGGGCGACGCTTGCATCGGAGCTGCTACGTTGAGCACCGCGAAGCCAAAGACGCAGCCTCGGAGCGGAGCAGAGAACTTGGACGTTGGAAGATTCGACGCATCCTCCGGTTCTCGAGGTTGCAAAAATTAACGCTCACCAAAACAACCGAAACACGCACCAAACGAGCTGAACACGCACCTAGCCGACGGGGGCTGCGCCAAAACAAATGCAAGTGCGCCAACTTTTTTTGCTCGCTCGGCCCGGAGAGCATTGCATGTCCGGCGGTCCTTGCCATGAACGATTCAGGTGTCAAGTATCTCTGGAATCTACACTGCCGACGTTCTCGACCGATTGTGCTTTATCGACCAAAGGCTACGAACCTTGGACCGGATGTGGATACAGGAGCAAACACAAACGTCAATGAATTTGTCCTCCGGAACTTCCATTCCCGGTCACCTCGGAAGAGCACGCACAACAAGGATCTGATCTGACCGGCACTGACCTGACCTGAGCTGACCTAAGCTGACCTGAGCAGACCTGACCTGACCTGAGTTGCTGTGACCTGGACTGTCTGATCTGAGCCGCGGTTTTTTGAATCTGATACGATCTCACCTGACCTGATCTGATCTGACCTGATTTGCCTGGCTTGACCTCACCTGACCTCACCTCACCTAAACCCTGATTCCTGAAACCTCAACCCTGACACTACTTGTAGCAGGAGTACATTGAAATTCTTTAGATGTTCTGAGTCTGATAACCCCCCTTCATCAACTGTAAATGCAAGTCCATCGTCCTGAAGATTGCGAAACCATTGAAGACGCAGATTTCTTGTCACCTACAAGAGATGGGCTGCAGCCCAAGGTCACCAAGTCCAGCGACGCAATCACGCTTTCATGAGCCGCCAGAGCTGTCAAAAGCGCGATCGCGGGCCTCCAAGCCACGTTTCACCACTTCGCCAATGGCGAAACGGTGCTGCAACGTGGCGCCCGGTACCTGGATGTGCGTCTTGCAGTTTTGGAAGTTGCAAGCGTCAAGCTTTCGCTACATTCGTGCTTTCGGATCAGAAAGCCCAGCGGCGCAGAGACTCTGGCGCTTCGATCCGGCCCAGCTGCAGCGCGCGCATGTCCAGCCAGCTTCGTGCTCACAGGACATGTTCAGTGGCAAGCAAAGCCTAAACCCGAAAAGGTGGAAGTTTGTTGCCTCACTCCGAGTGCTGGCCTGCCGCAAAAGCTTCTCAGTGGCCTCCTCTCCCTGACCGAAGTCAACATGTGGAGCACAAGTGTCAAGGTCAAGATCTGGAATATGCAAGGACATGTCGGCGCGGTGGCTTTCAGAAGAAACAAACCTGGAAGCCATGCCTCAGGATGCAAGAGCGCATTGCGTCGCCGCCATTGCCGAAGCTCCTGCCAAGACCATGCAAAGCAAGTAGCTTCAAAACGTTTCAACGAATGTGCAGCATGGGTAGGTGGTGGTAACGTCTGCGTCTCCTTGGCCGACGGCTCGTCTGCAGCTGAGGACAACTTCATGTTTCTGCTGCTGTACCAAGCTAAGAAACAGTTGCTGGGGGTTTCCATCCGAACAGTTATCGAACTGCAATGGCTTCTAGAGGAGCCTGGTCTGCTTCGTGAATGACCAAGACTTGCCCAGGCGGCACTACGGACACTAGCGGTGAGTCTTGGTACACCACGACACCATGCTGAGAAGGAGCTGAGTTGTCAAGGATTCGACCGTTGTGTCGCTGTGCAGCTGCGAGTATTCCGCTTGTTCTTGCCAAGTCTGTGGTTTGGAAGCTTGGTGACTGCAGCAACTTCTTGGTGAGAGTTGGGGTCGTTTTGGTGCGCTGGTCATGGGTCTTGGTGCGGGTTTGAAGGTTTGGTTGTGGTTTCGGGCTGCAATCCGGTTCTCGAGGGCTTGGCGGTAGAGCAGGAAGAAGAGTGCGAACCACTCGGAGATGTTGTCGACGAGCACGCGACAGGCCGGCCCCCAATTGGCAAACCTCGCGAAGGCAGCTGCAAGCAAACCCATTCGGGCGGTCGTCAATCATATCACGTGTCACTAGCGTAGTTCCGATACCCCGAGGCTCATCCTGCATTGGCGAGACAATGCACATAAGAATTGGGCAGAGGGCTGAGATTCGGGATCACTCAAACCTCGAAGGAGGCTGCACAGTCGATTCGGGGGACACTGCCCCGTTGAGAAACCTTCATAATGCCGGAAGCACCTGCACCTGTCTCGATCCAAAGCTCCAGAAGCCGAAATCCAACAACAAATGTCCGACCAAGCAAGTTGGCACTTTATGGATTGTTGCCGCGGTCGGTTACAATGGACCAGATATGGCTACTTTACAAAAGCAGGCAAACTCCCTCTCTGGCAGAGCTTTGCTAGAGATTCATTCTTTGAGTTTAAACCGCACATCTCTTGATGCAAGCTTTGTCACAGCCACTGAAAGGCCCCAGCAGACGGGACCCACGAGTACCGAAATCTCGAAGGCTCTGTGCTGGTTTGGTTGGGCACGTGCTCTTCGAGCCTTCGAGCTTCGTGGAAGGTGTGTGAGGGCCACGGAGGTACTACGAAGGTGCAAGCGGCACACGGCACACGGCGTGCCAATGCAATCCGAAAGAAGCCACACTTCTGAGCGCAGGAGCATGATCTCGAACATGGTGAGGAAGGTTCGGGAGAAGGTCCCGTAGTATCGGAAGACCTCAGGGTTGCCCCCGGCTCCGCAGCTTCCGCTACAGGGCACAACGGAACGCACCTCCTCCTGCTTGAGCAGGTCGTTCCCGTCGTCTAGCAAGTACGGGGCAGCCAGCATGCTCACCACGACCCCAGCCAGGAGCTGCAGAAGAGACAACAAGCAGAAGGACCAAAACCTCGGTGGGGCTCGGGCCGGCTCGGCTGCTCGGCTTCCGCCGCTGAGAGCGCAGCCGGGGCGCAGCATCCCTCGACTCGCTTCCAAGCATTTCACCAGCAGCTGCAGGGGAGCGTGGCCCACTGCGACGCTGAACCTCAAAGACAGCGCCAGGGCGGCGCGGTCCGGCTCCCTCCGCGCTCCCCTGCTCGCGCTCCGTCGCTCTCTCGCGCTCTCTCTCTCTCTCTCTCTCTCTCTCTCTCTCTCTCTCTCTCTCTCTCTCTCTCTCTCTCTCTCTCTCTCATTGGGAACTTACAGATTGTGAAAACACGTAGGGGAGTTGGCTGCGTGCGACCCAGGCACATGCGCAGCGCCTTCGTCAGCTTGACGACGCGCAGCAAGCGGAAAAAGTCGAAGTTCACGTCGGAACTGTCGGCCGACAGGAGCCAAAAGATTTCCACAACGCAGAAGCCGGCCACCACGAAGTCCAGGCAGTTCATGCAGGTCCGCCTTGGTCCAAATCAAGATACTGTAGGGGATTTATGTCTCTCTCTCTCTCTCTCTCTTTGTGCACATGTGCCTCTTCCTCTCGCTGTAAGGGTTACTTCAAAGTAGATGGCTGGAAAAACCGCGTGTGGGAGAAAACGATCCGGGGCCTGGGGCCTGCCATGCCTGCTCTCCGTCTCAACTTACATAGATGCGCAAAAAACGACCCAGGAGTACAACCAAGAGCTGGAAACCGCGAAGGTCACAAGGAAGTTCGTGCCGGCGGGCCAAAATCTTCGGCCCAGCCCCAGGATCCTCAAGCAAGCGTCTCCAATGTAGAGGCCGGCCTCAGCTCACACGACGCTTGCTTCTGAGAAGTTCAAGCTCTGGGAAGTGATGGAGCCAAGCCTTTCCTCGCGGATGCGCCGGGCTACCGTATAGTAAACACCATGACTGCCCTAGGCCCAAAAATTGAGCTGCGTCACGAAGATGGCGTCGCCGAGGTAGAAGATCTCCCTCACACGTGCTCTGATCCGGACATTTCTTTTTGAACTGCAAAGCTATACAAGCGTCGCTGGTATCTTTGTGTCACCAGCAACTGCCCACCCAAGATCGATAAGAATGTGAACAAAAATCCAACCTCACTCTCGAACAACCACCGAACTACCGACACTCAAAGGTAGTCCCGCTGCTGGCGCTTCGGGAATCACAGACCTCGCCTACATGGCACGTCCTGCCTCCAGATTTCCATGCCCACTCCGAAAGAAGTGTCGGTGAGGGTGTTGATCCTTGTCCGATGACATGTGTACGTTCGTAGAGGGAGGTGGGCTGGCGGCTGGAGGAGGGACCTGACGCCGGGCTTGGCCAGAGGTATGAGTACACGGAAATAGTGGCAGCAAAGGGGCTGTTCGCCTTGCACCTGCACCGTCCAGGCCATCCACAACCTCGGTAGCCAGTTTTGCGGCAGGCAAATCGAAAAACAGCCACGCGTTGCGTTCGACGCTTCGGCACATCTCTGCTGCTGCAGTAAGCACCGGGAAGGGGAAGATATGCCTTTCAAGGGCAAAGGGCAGACTCCGGACATCGCTCAAAGTCATCATCAAAAAGGGTAGTAGCCTCTGAAAAAACGGTAGTACTCATTGCTGCTAGCATGGCCACAGGCAGACATGCACAAATCGAAGTGCGGTCATCTTACGGTGGCTCAAGCTCGAGCACCTACAAAGAGGCAACGAAACGCCTGTCGGAATGAAAGGACTGACTACTGTACTGGATTGGTCGATAAGCCTTGAGTCCCATCTCGCACAGGTTAGATTTCATCATTATGCCACATCACACGTGAACTTGCGGTCTCCAACTCACGATTCCACCCAAACTACCTCATAACCAACTCTCATACGCAAGGCTGTGATGACACTGAATGCAACACCGGTCAGAGGTCGTAGCACAAGAAACACAGCCTTCCTGTCCAGGGAGCATGTTCGCAACGAGGACCCCGGCCATAATACCCTGAGAGCAGAGCGCGCTTTCTTGGTCTTCGGCTCCGAGCTTTCAGCTTTGCTTGTCAAGAGGGAGGGAATCTGACACTGAGGGCGGAAACACGGAACCTCCCCGGCACGCGAACTGCTCACATGCAGGCCGCAGGCCTCGTACGTAGCCGAGACGAGGAAATCTTGGCAGCGTTCCTGGAAGCCGTCGAAGATCCCATAGCAGTACGGTGTACGGTCATGGGTTTATGGAGAAGGGGGATGATCAACTTTCTCCAAGCATCGGAACGCGTTGGAGTATCCGACCTCAATGCACCAGGGCTAGCATTGCTGCGCCCATGAACCAGCTACAACACTGCGTACGCTACAAACAGCTTATGTTCTTGATGCGCAGCTGTAACTCGTGAACTTCCAGCGGGATAGAACTCCAGACCTCAGAAATCATCCTGTCGGAACCCGGCATCTTAGCCGCGTCCCAAACCGATATTCCTCCACTGAGCAGACGAGCGTCTCACTGGTCGAGAACCGCGTCTGGTTCTGGATGTCTCGCATCTCCAGGTGTTCCTTCCAAGCTCCAAAACGATTGAGTCGCACGTGGTTTTTGAGCGCACGGTACTGCAGCATCAGCCCACACCAGTCATTTTGCTGCCGATCTCCAGCATGAACCCCTCTGTGCTCACTGCCCAAGTCTTAATCCGAAGACCCTCCTCCCAGTGATATATCGGACACGGCCACCAGTCTCAAAACTCTCCGATCTCTCTCTGATTTCTCTCTCTCCCCGATTTCTCTCCTGTTCATCCCAGGCTTCGAGGATCGTGTTCGCATCCACGAGCGCCTGACGCGGGCGGGCCGAGACGGTGCCGCCAATTACACGTCAAACGCTGCTCCCCCGCGTAGCCCCACATTTCTGGGAGCACCCCTACTACTGCTCTCTGAATCCCTAAACCCTAAATCCTAAACCCTAAATCCTAAATCCTAAATCCTAAATCCTAAACCCTAAACCGATACCTTCAGTGCACTGCAATTTTTGGCTCCTAGTGGTCCTGCTGCTCCCGAAGGCTCTTCCTCATCCTCGTTCTCTCCTACTTCGTGGCACCACTGATTTCGATAGCCGACAACACCATTCCTCCGGCTTTAACAATGCCTACCAAGAAAAAAAGTAAGCCACTGCTAAGTCTCCAGCTGTCACTACGAGTAGGACGAGGACGGCTAGAATTGCAGAACATGGACAGTCGGCCAAGCGACGGACTGTGAGGAAAGTCGCTTATTTCGCCACGGGCCCGGGAAGCTGAGGTTCGAATTCACCGACTTCGGCGTCCTTAAACAGATGGGCAAGAACGGAAGGAACAAGAATGACAAGAATGGGTCGCTCAGACCATGTGCCAGAATGCCCTTGTAGCTCCATGGCTCAGTGAAGCCAAGGCCTACGAATCCAAACAAAAGCATCCGAGTGCAAAGGAGCGAGGAACTGCAAACAGACTCGCTTGTTGCTTTCTGAGAGGCATCATTCGCTCCATACCCACCTCCAATTGATTTCCGAGTGACCAATTGAGATATCGGGTTTTCATGGGGTCAAGGCAGCACTAGGCAATAGGTCCCTATTGCCCCTCAGGTTCCGGGGAAGCTCTGGCCATAGGCAGCCCAGACATGTCTCAGCTTTCCCCGGCGCATCCCGGCCAGAGTGGGCGACAGCGCCGGCGACTCCTCCTTCCTCGACAAGGCCGCTCGAAGCGCTTCCAGCTCTGTGGCCTCACGTCAATGCTCCGCGCAATCTCGCGCGAGACGCAAACGTTGAGGGGCGTGTTGAGGGGCGGTTTTTAAGGCGTCATCTCCGGCAAAATCTGCAGAGGCACATGCTGGCTCACGAGCTGGTCGATCAGCGCCTGGAAGGCCTGAGGCAGAAACCCACTTCTGAGACTTCGGGCTCGGCTGCATGAACTCCTCATCTGCGATTTTGTAACAAGTTGGTCTACACGCCCCAGCACACTTGAAGTCGCGGTGAGCATTTGCTGCTTGCGCTAGGCTCTTTGGAGTGCCCCCCAGGCCCTACGCAATACATGAGAAAAGCGATGCAAAAAGAAACAAAACCGCACCCGCTCGGACCCTCAAGGTGGAATCTATGGTCCCCTGGCAGAAGGCCTGGGATGCCACCATCGGTCGCGCCTTCTGCGTTTGACACACACGGGGAATCTTTGTCTAGTATCCAATATACAATATCTCGTCCAACAATGCACTTGTCACGGCGTCTTGACATTCCAAAGCCATGAAGCACGGACAAGAGAAATCCACGAGTCCTCGACGGCTGGACAGTGTCTGGAAACACAAGTCAGGTTCTTCTAATTCCGGAGAGCGAAAATACATCACCGGGACAAAAGTTTCGACATACGGAGGATATTATCAAAATACATGAACATATACCGCGGAGAAGCGGAGTGGAAAAATGTCCGTTTTACGTAGCCAGCGAGGCGGAGTAGTTAATTTCCTGGAATAAAATTATACTACTATAATGTTCTCGGCGGATCTAGGGGGGAAAGGGGTGGCAGCACTGCATATGTTGAGGTATACAGGTAGTGTGGCGAACTTTTGTCCTGCGGTAGTACGACATAGTTCCGGAAGCAAAACATTTCCAAAATCCGGACGTCGAAATCGCCAGGCTTAGCTTCGCTTCGGCAAGTCACGGCGTGTGAGGCGAAACGCGTGAATCGCAGCTCCGATCCAGCTGAGATTGCGGCGAGACTTCGCGGCGACAGGCTGTCCATCGATGCGTCGCTCGCCGTTTTGACTCGAGTCCTCCCCTTCGTTGCAGCGAAGGTGCACAGCACGGAATCGGTGTCGCAAGCACTGCACAGCATAGACCCCTTCTGACTTCACATCCATCTGATCTCAGCTATTTCGTTAAGCATGTCGCCAATCAGCAAAGCGATGAAGTGGCAGCAAGGTTAGCCGTACCGACAACATAGCCGTTGCTTCGGGATCTCAGGCCCTGGGCAAGCGGAGCTGCCCTATTGACCCAAGAAGCCTGCGGGCTCGGAGGCAGCGCCAAGCGACCGTCCTTTGCAAGTGATGTCTCCACCCGTCTGCTTCCCTTCTGCGCAAATGCTTCATGAGAATGAGATTGCCGTCTCCACCCGCCGCAACCACGCAGCATTAGGGAGTGACAGGAACCCGAAACCAAACTGTTCGATGCCCTCCCGACCTTCAGCGACCACTGAGGCAGCACATCTTCCGCATCCGGCCCTGCGGCTATCACGATAAGCCGGCGCGCTGCTTCAGGGCTTCTGCAGTAGCAACCCGATGCACAGGGAAACATTCGTGAGATCCCCGACATGATGCCTTTGCCGTCGCAGCTTTGCAGACCTTTACGATCCAGCTCCCTCGCAAACTGACGGCGGTAACTGTCTGCCATCATTCTAGACGGCACATGCTGCAGCTTCAGAGGAAAACTCCACAGCCCGAACTCGTCTAAACTTGAATAGGTGACGACACTCGCGTGTGGCCTGGTATTCGCGGCTTCGCGTGATGCACATCCTGGAGAAAGCCTGCGGATGCTACGACCCCTCGGCTTCTGCGGGCGGGAATTGGCAAGGTGGTTCTAAGCAGGAATGCGACTAACCTCAGCTTTGCTATGATTGTAACTTCTCTCCGCTGGGGCTCTTGACACAGTCAGCGTGATCATTGCCATCACTGCAGTCATGGTCACCATTCTTCTGCCTATCATTCGCATGACCGTCGATACAGCAATCGGCAGTAGCAATAGTAGTACTGCTGTCGTAGTGGTAGTGTAGCAGTCGTCGTCGTAGCAATAGGGGTTAGGGGAGTAGGAGAAGCGGCAGCGGGAGAGGTGGCAGTAGTCGTAGCGGTAGCAGCAGTAGCGGTAGCAGTGGTAGTGAGTGGTCGAGGCAGCGATCGCGGTGCCGGCACCGCCATCACCACACCATGGCTCAGATGTTACTGTGGTCTATCACCATGTTGCCGTGGTTGCCACCGTGCACTCGCGATATTGACACGTCGTAAATGTTTGCAAAACCGAAAGAAGCATGTCCATTGGATCATGTTTGGCATTGCTGTCACATATCCTTTAGTATTCTGTGATGATGATCGCTGCTACTGTAACACTACTTGCTAGAAGTATTGTCGTCGCCCTAGTTTTTATAGCCCTAACTAATTATCCATGTTGAGCTATTGCCACTGGTTTTCATCAGCATCATCACTACCATGAACATCATTACTCTGATCGCTTCCTGTTGCTACTACCTGTCGGTTATGATTGCCTAGGAGGTTGACTGCCATGCGCACGGACAACAAGGGTCTCGATTTTTTGCCTAACCGCAACACACACGTCATCGTGATTGTTTCGCTGACGGTCATAATCAGCAGCATCTCGAGCATGGCACGTTTATCCTTCTGCTCATCCCTCACTGTTTCATCTGCCGAGCAACGACCAGGGCCCGTGTCGTGCGGCTCGCCGCCGCTCGGAGCCATGGCACGCTGCTACCGAAGGTGTGTCTCTTCAAGTGTTCAGCAGTAAGTACTGTCTGTATGCTTGAGTCTGAGAAAGAGATAAGCGTTCAAAGATCTTCGAGCTGGCAGGGTTTCAAGGGCAAGACAATCCAACAGCTCCGCGGGGATCCATGTGACTAGTTCGTGCGTTCCCTGCCACTTTGCACAGCAACCCCTTGTTGTTATTACAATCGCTTCCTTGAGCAAGGTCTGTGGCCCAGCACGAATCACTGCGGACCAGCAAGCATCAGGTGGATCACGCAGTGCTGGGTGACTAGCATCAGAATCACCTTACTTTTGAATGATCTTGTATGACCTTGTTTTGTCAGTTTCGGAGGCTTGCACAGTCGCATTCCAACCCTCCAAATAGTCGCGACTCGGTGCTCGGCTTGGGTTGGGCAGAAGAGCTCACAAACGTTCTCATGTGTCGACGCAGATGATGTCATGCAAGCAGCCCGCCTCTCGATTGTCCGGATTCTTGTCCGGATGCCAAACCAAGGCCTTCTCTCGGTATGCCTGCCGCTGAAGGCCCTTCTTCCTCGGATTCTTTGCCTGCTAACCTCTGCGAGACCAGCGAATGCGGCTTCCGCCCCCGAATCCGAATGAGGCCTTCTTAATGGTCCGAAGGTCAGCATCCTTCGGGACTTCCAGCACCTCGTAGTAGGGCTGCTTGGCCTTAGGTGAGCTGCGTCACTCCACTTAAGCAAGTTTCCAACAACAGTCTGTGATCAATAGAACTGAAACACGATGCAGATTGCCCAGCCCCAACCTGGCGAGGCAGGGAATCCAAGACGAAGGCCTCCGGGGAAAACGATCCAGAGAGCAACCCCGACAAGAAAGTCAAAGACAACGCCCTGACAGTAAACAAAGCCCGACAACAAAGCCAACCACAATGCCGGACAGCGGGAGTGCGCGGGCGTGAGGGCCTCCCTGGACGCACCTGGGAGGCCCGTAGGCAACATACAAGTAGAAAGTAACTGTAGCGACCTGTCTGTTGCAAAGAACCGGTTCATGTTTATGCAAGTCCAAATAACATGTTTAACTTGAGCCAGGGGCGCCTGGGGGTGTTGTCGTGTCATGTCTAGTTCGCGTCGGATGTACAACACGCTCTCGATCCGGAAAGTTCAAGATGGAGGCTCGGAAGCGCGCAGCAGGGCGCCAAAGCACTAGATTTGCACAACGCCCCGGACTTAAAGAAAAACATATTTCCTGACGTGCAAACCCGAAACCCTCAAACCCAAAGCCCGTAGTTCTCTTGACCCATTGGCGGTTCGGCGGCTTCTGGCGGGCTCCATGTCTCTCGAGCCCCGAGCCCAGGCGAGGCAGAGCACCAGTAGCCAAAGCACCTCCCAAGAGAGAAGAGCCTGGAGCTCTGGCTGTCGCTCTGAGCTCTGAAGCTACAACGGTTGATGATAACCCATAATAAGGAGTATATGGGAATTATGGTATATTCCTTATTATGGGTCATGCAGGATTTTTATCATCAACCGCAAGCATCCAGAATCAGAGAGCTCCCGCCTTGAGCGGCCCCATGCTGCTGGGCTCTCTCTCTAAAGGCCGCGCCACTCCCTTGGCGCAGAACCTACATGCCAATCCCTTCTTCTCAATCATGCAGGGAGAATCCACCACTCCAGGAGCTACCTGCTGGGAAGGGGAGGGGGAACTTAATTTCCGGTGGGCCCGTTGACGGCATCCATCAGACAGGCTACAATGGCTACAGCTACCGGCTACGCGGCTACGCGGCTACGATGCTAGCATTCGCTTCCTATGGCAGCTCGATCTTCAGCTGCAGGCGGCGCAGGGCGGCGAGTCTTCTGCAGGGGACGGGACGTGAGGACGACGACATGACGCTCCGCAGGACCTGAGAGCCGTGAGCCGTGGCGAGGTGCCGGCGTCCGCCTCTTTTCTCTCTGCATAGCCGCCCCTGCAGCCGGTTGTGGTGCCGGCGTCCGCGGCCTCTTTGCACTGCCTGCAGCGTTCCAGGCTCCCCTTTGAATGCCCCAGGCCCAGCAAAAGCCAGGATCTTTAGCTAAATGAAAGCTCTGGGACCGGAGCGGCCTCCTCAGGCGGATCAGCGCTTTGCCCACGTGGCCCTGGTCAGCATCGCACCGCGCACGGCTCAATCACATCGCATGTGAACCCAAAACTCAAATAAACCTTTCACCTCAAAGCCTGAACTCTCTGACGCCGCAGACCCGAACCCTTCCGGTTGGCCTCCTCGGCGCGAAGTGCCGAGATGGCGGCCTCCGAACCGAAGGCGCTCAAGCCCTCGGCCCGGGCCCTCGCCGTGAAGTGACAGTGACGGAGTGACGGATGGAGGCGGCGCTCAGGCGAAGCAGACAGATGATGAAAGCAAATCGAGTCAAGAGCCTAGCCCAACCAGCATAGAACGGTACTCAGATGTAACATGCTGCAGAGGCTCGGGGCCTCTGGAGCAGTCGCTCCAAGCGCTCCTCCTCACTCTGCGGGGCCTGGAAGCAGGCAACTCAAGGCTCAAGGCTTACTGCAGAGCTGGGTGCTACGAAGGCTTTAGCTTTTAACTCCTCCTGGCCTTCGAGGCCTTGGGAACCTCCGGCTCTGGCTCCTGCAGACATGTCCATTTCCACAGAGGCAGGAGCGAATCAAAGCAGCAAAAGGTCGCGCACGCGACCTTGGGTCCAGAAGCTGACAGACGACTGATTTCGGGACCTTGGCATCGTCTGCCTGGACCTGCTCCTCGGCCACATCAGCCTAGCAAAGAAAGGAAGCACTGCATAACTGCTGCATAACCTCTGCAGGGCTGGGAGTGATGGAGCTAGCACCTCATGCCATCGAAGATCTGATCTAGCTCTCCCTTGTTACCCTGTCGCATGTAAAGCCATGATGGGTGGAACGGAAGAGATGTTGAAAGAGAGGTCATCAGACTGCCGGCGATCCCTTGGCCGCAAGGAGCTGCCCTGGAGACAAGAACCCTTGCTGACAAATTCATGTCACCACGACGTGTCGATACCCTGGCATTTGGAGAATTCGTGGCGGTTACCTCACTTGCAGACAGCTCCGAAATCCTGGTGGGGAGTGCCGTCGAAGCCCTAAACCCCTGAACCTCATAAACCCTAAACCCGAAAGCATAAAGCCAGAACAACCCGAAGCCCTAAAACCTAAGCAACCCCAACCCTGAACACCAAACCCCGAACCCGACCCCAAACCCTACACAAACCCAAACCCCAAACCCGAAACCGTGTCAAGTGTGCGCCCTGTCCTCAAAAAGGATGCACACACTGGACTGCGAAGTCGAAAAAGACGTGCGCCGGACCGGCAAGTGCATGTTAACTAGACCCGGACCCCCGCCCCCTGTTTCTGAGAGGAGCATGCAGCAACACACGCTCCCTTCGATCGCAGCCACTGTTTCATGGTATTTGCATGTCTTCGCCATGCAAAACCTCTAATGGTAGGCGTCACCACAATGCCAAATCTCCACGCAGCTACATTATCCCAGAGTGCCAGCAACAAGAGTGCGTACCACCAAGGCCTACATAGTCATGGCCATCGATTCGGCGTGGAAGCTCAGAGTTGGAAAACGACCCGAATTGCGCGAGCGCTCGCGGGCTTCGTGCAGACTGCAAAAGGCGAGCCCCAGGCCAAAGATCTACGTCTGGCTGAAACTAGCCTACTGCTACTGCTAGCTACTGCTAGTTTGCTAAAGTTGCGAAGCATGGCATGCAAGGCTGAAACGGCTGAAAGGCTTAGTGCCGGGGATACACAACAGAAAACGCCTCTTTGTACACAGGCAGTTTCACCTGTGGATCAGAGGCTTTGCAGAATTTGATTTGGCCAATGCATCACGAATTTGTAGATCTGGATCTTGCTGCCAACCTCAGCGACTGGAGCTTCGCAAGGCCTTTCTGCCTTCATGTAGTCGAACATGTAGCGCGCAAGGCCGATGACGGACCCCCTTTGGGGCCCGTACCAGGTTCTGGCCCTTGGGCACGTCCAGAGCCAGGCCGGGGTCCGTCAGCCACTGCAGCTGGAAGCCTCTGTTGGGCGGACACCGAGGCTACGAGGCTTCCCGGCTTCCAAAAAGGGCAGCCGAAGAAGGCAGGCGGCTGATCTTGTCGGGGCTCTGATGCACGATCCACTTCCTGAGTTGCACATGCTTCTTGTGAAGCAAGGGGACTTCCCATGCACAGCCGCGGCAAAGCTGCAGGGCCACTCCGGAAGACTAAAAACTCCCCTCAAGCCCAAGAATTGAGTCTCAGAGGCTGGTCTTGCTGGGACCGCTCATTGATGCTGCAGGTCCACAGCTGCAGGTAGTTCCTCCGAGCACTTCGGGAGAGCGTGCGTTTGAGAAGAAAGTCTACGAGGGTGGTAGGCGTGGCAAGCAGCATTAAAGTATTAGGACTGACAATGCCAAGGGTATGAATTAATGTGGCCTGTCTCCGCCCAGCGATATGCACGGCCGAAAGGAAGCATACACAATTGCACAATGAGATTCATCCACCTCTGAAGCTGTTGGGCATGCACCCACCCCCGTGTTTCGTCCGGCTTGACACCAGATCCCCGCCTCCTGCCATCCCTCCGAGTCCATCAAAACCATCGTGACTACGAGTATGCTGGAATGCTCGGGTGTAGCACAAAAAACATAAGCTGCCGAATTCTGCTGCAAAGATTCATCGGTGAGTCCAGTCCAGCAGTCTTCCGCCAATCTGCATGGTCGTGAACATCTAAGCCTTCAGCAGCTCAAGGCGGGTTCAAGGCAGCGTAAACTGCTTGCTGAAATGCCCCCCGTACCCAGACTGCATCGGCAACCCAACTGAGCGGTTTGGGTTGCAACTGCTGCAACGGATGTGCTATAGTTCCGCAAACTGAAACGAGTTCGGGCAAGTCTTAGATGCCTGGAAGTTGTGCACGGTTCTGCCCATCTACCCGATGTACAGATTTGCGGTCCACAGCTCAGATCTCAAGTCTGGAACTCAACTGCGGTGTGGTTTTTTTACAGAGGCACTGCACCCAAGCCTGGAAGGGCGTATGCAAGAGCCACAAGCGAACTTCGCTACCCTTACCATGGCTTGCACGGAAGGGCCGAACCCCGAGGTTCATTCCTCTCAGTCAGGAGGCACTTGTCTGTTCCAGCCAAGCGGAAAGAAGTCACCGACTCCGAAGGGAAGTCGCCTTTTCGATGACAGGCAACGGCGCTTCAGGCTTGGGCTTGGCTGCCTTCTCCTAGGTCCTGAAGCCAGAAGCCACTTCTTCCGAGCCGCGGATGTGAAAGATCTTCCAGTAGCTCTCCGGCTGTTGGGCCTGGATCGAGGCTCCGGCTTTGGGCATCTTCCCTTCAGGTCGGGAAGTCAGACCATCTCAGGCGATGCAGGAATAAGAAGGCTGGGTGTCTCTTGCTGAGATCCATACAGAATTCCAGGCAGAATCTACTTGTGCCACTGGTCGGAAGACTCCTGCTCCGAACGCCCCTGAAGCCGATTGAAGTCGCCCAGAAACGCCCCGAACCGTACGCCGGTGCTGTACCCAGGTTTCTGGGCGAAGAGCCTCCCAGCTCACCCAGCAGTCTTGACAGCCGCACTCGTTCAGTTTGATGATCGCTCCTAGGCAGGGGGTGAACCCTCTCGGAGAAAATACTGGCAGCAAACGCAGGATGCCCGGAGACTGCAAGATCATGGGAAGCCTTCATCGCTAGGCGAAGTCGGAAAACTCGAGAAACCCTCGTGCCGAGATACCGTCTTCGGGTTCCGACACTCCAATGCACTTGCCCTGGGAGGCTCAGAGGAGACACGGTATATCACGGTATCATCGGCGGCTGAGGCGGCGGCCTTGAAGGAGATCGTGCCAGAGAAAGCCGTTGTCTCCACGCCTGAGCTTCACGGGACAAGCTCCGGGCTTCGACGGAAGGCCCAGCCAGAGTCTAGAAGACGAAGTTTGTTGGAGGCTGCCAGCTTGGAGTCGAAGCGAATGCACCACCCGAACCGAGGGTCTTTGGAGGGATCTGAGCTCCAAAGAGGTAGAACGCACAGGAGAAGGAGAGGGCCCGCTGCCTTCTGCCAGGATGCTGCTCAGCCTCTCGTAGGTCGCGAAGTGGTACAGGTCCTGCGCAACACAGAACACCACGCTCTTGTCTGCACGTGTTCTGGCACTGTCGTCACAAACCCTGTGACCCGGTGGAGCGACAGCTTCAGCTCGAACCTTGCGCAAAGACAGCCCATAAACTAGCAGAGGCCAGCCAGAGCAACGCTGCCGAGCATGTCGAGAGAGAGCGAGAGAGAGGAGACATACATAGCGAACAAAACAAACCCAGCCATGAAACATGGAGGGGGCTTGGGGAGGTCACTTCATCTCAACGATCCTACGGCCTTGCGACGGCACAGCAGGCTCCCAGTTGCGGGTTCTCCAAAAGCTGCAAATCTCTAGGAGTTCGCTCAGCTACAGTCCCGAACGACAAGCTTCTCTGCACTTCTCGAAGCAAAAGTCCTGACTCGCATCGCCCCCCTTGTACTGCTGGCAGAGGCCCTTGTCCTGAAGCAATGCAGGTCTAAGGTGCAGCTTCTCACCTTCCGGTGCGAACGCTCGATCAATCGGTCTGCCTGTCTCTGCATGTGAATCGTTTTGCCCTTCTGCGCTGGTGCATGTTTCGAGTGGTGAGCTTCTTCATCTCATTTTGCACCTGCATACAGTAATGTACCGTGAGCATGTTTACACACTCGCAGAGACATGAATGTAGATATGCAGATCGAAGTATCAGAGACGCGGTGGCTTCAAACGAAAGCTAATGGAAGCGATACATGCCCGGCATCTAACAAAAGGAGATCCGAAGACTATGAATAGTCCTGTTTGCAAACTTCGAACGTCACGAGTTTCAGGGACGCTAGAGAACTGACGTCCTTTGCAATGTTCGCCCTCAGCCAGCACTTGAACGGAAAATAGCCTCAGCTTGGTCGCGCCGCTCACAAACTGCGATGCTCTTGGGCGGGGCTCCGCCTTGAGACCGCTCTTGAGGGGATGAAGCTGCAAGCTGCGGCGGGTTTTGGGACGCAGAGCTGCGGAGCTGCGGAGCTGCGACATGACGGTCGAGCAGCGGTAGAAGATCACGAAGCCGTGGCAGTGCTCGTACCTGGGAATGCAAGGAGCGAGCCTTCTCGAGCCGGAAGGCCCAAAGCTGGCCAAGGAACTTGTTGCACTGCATCGCACACTGGTCGGCGGTCTTTACGACGACGTTGACCTGTGAAAGCCTGGCTGCCAAAGACAGGCTCGCAATCTTCCCGCTGCAGACACGAAAGCGTCGCCGCCCATTCGTCCCCCACTCTCACCGACGAGCAGCCCGGCCGATGTGGCGCCACGATGGTCGAAGCCTTATCATAATCGCTTTCCAACTGTAGACTACAATGAAAAACCTAGTTGAACAGTGCCAATGCAAAACCTAGTTGAACAGTGCCAAAGAAGAAGTCACAGCATACACTCGATCGATGCAGTGATCTGTTGACGTGCAGAGAACCCTGCAAGATGCGGCAAAGCCTGTTGGCCCTACGTACGTTTGCGAAAACAACGGTCTCAATGACAAGAAGCAGTTCACGTGGGCAAACTCAGTGTAGCCTCGCAGGCAGCTGCATCAGCTTTGTGCGATTGAGTTTGTGAAGACACGCTTCCCGCCTGCGACGATGTGCAGGTTGTCCACCTCGCCCTCGCGCGCGGGGACGTGCCGGGGCATTGCTGCTATGCTCTCTGGACTTCAACTGCCAGCCTAGAATCCCCAAGCCCAAACTCGAGAAACCCCCCCACCGGTTCTCAGCGGTGATGGCCTAGCCTAGAGTCCCAGAACAAGTGAGGAGCTCCATAGCAAGTATGTCTTGAGTGCTGGCCTTGTAGATCAGTCCATCAATGGGCGATCTGGCCTGCGAGTCTGCCAGGGCAAGGAAGCCTCTTCTGAGTTGAGTGACTCCTAGCGACTTCCCGAAAGCCTCGTCTTCCGTCGAGGGCCGCTGTCCTCGCATCCGGCGGCAGGAGAATAAGGAGAGAGGAAGTCTCGCTCCCGCCCCGCCAGGCTGCCCCGCCTCGGAGGCCGAGGCCGAGCCGCCGAAAGTCGCCGAGAGCAACGGCACCCAGGAAGCAAAGCCCCGCGAAGACGAAGGCGGCCGAGGCTTTCGCCGCTGCCTCAGCTCAGGGCGCGTTCCGAAGCGGCCCTAGGCCGCGCCGCAGGCGGATGCAGGCGGATGCAGGCGGATCTCGTGCAAACTTCCTCGCCTTCGCAAAGCGCCGCGGGGCCCGCGCAGGGAGGAGCCCGTGAGCTGCGGAGCCTGAGCGGGGCGAGGGGCCCATTCCCTTTGGGCTCGAGGCTTCTGCTCCGGAGGCTTCGGGGATTTCAGGGCGAGCTCTAGGACATGGGCGCGTGCGTGTGGACTTTGCTTCTTGCTTGGGTCTGCAGCGACGTCCACAGATGTGTGTGAGCCTTCCAATTCTGCCACTCTTAACTTTCAAGATTCCCTGCCTTCGCAGGGTGGTGATGCCAACGGCTCTGCTTCCTTGCAGGGTGAGGCTTCGTCCTTCCTTTACCACTGCTAGCGCTGCTAGCAACCTGACAGCAACTGGCCTCGCCGGCCCCAGTCAGCGCTTGCCGCGAATCCAACACTTCCGGCTGTGATGGCGGCATTGCAGAGCCCGGAAGAAAGGGCATGGCACTGCAGGAATTGCAGGTGGTGTTGCTCAAGAATGTGTGCAATCAGAGCTGGTTGGGGGGACTGGGGAGTCGGAGGGATAGCCAGCTATCGTGCCAAGACTTTCGAGATACATCTCGACCCTGCTGTGGCCCAGATATTTATACTTAGGATTGAACAGCTATGCTATGGCTTGGTGCCTTCCAATGTAAAAAAGGAAATGGCGGGTGGGGTGATGTGACCTTAAGATGCAAAATGTCAGACGGTCGATCACCGCGGGCATGAACCGAACCCCTCCCTTCCATCCCACATCATCCCACACTCCCATCAACAAAGCTCCAAGTTGGACCAAGTCCAAAGGAAAAAACACATGGTGACCGCCGCTTTCGAAGCCTCGGCGGGCGCCTCGGTGAGCCATTTGAGCCTCGGCGTGACGAGTCGGAAGGCATTGTTTCGGGGTAGTAGTAGTAGTAGTAGTAGTAGTAGTAGTAGTAGTAGTAGTAGTAGTAGTAGTAGTAGTAGTAGTAGTAGTAGTAGTAGTAGTAGCCCTCGGGGGCAGCGGCAAGAGGCCCTGGAGCTTGTTGGCTTTGGGAGCCTGCAAAGCCGCCGCAACACCTGCAGAGACGTACTTGGAGGCTGAGTTTTTCAAGCTTTGTACAGGCCAGCAAATTAGCTTTCGCGCGTACGTGTGCGGACACTCCGAAGTCGGGAACGATGCGAGGGGGATGAAGATTCGCCGAGTTCCATTTTGAGCCATTCCAAGCGTCTCTATTTCCCGCCAGCTCTTTCCATGTACAGCTACCCGACAAGGCAGAGCAGCCTTAGCTCTGCCAGCAGTGCCTGGGAATCGGAAGTCCGGCCCCTTGGCCTTGGCCTGTCTGCCCACATCTCGGACGAGAAAGCCCTGAATCGAAGTCCGACAGCCCAATCCTCCTCTCGGTGCCCGTCCTTCGGAAAGTGCGCCCAATGGCCGCACGAAGTCGGAGACTCCGGCAACTCAGTGTCTGCGACGACTGCGGAGGAGAAATGGTGCAACGGCACCGGAACCCCCAAGGGCTCGAGAGGACAGCAAGTCTTCAAGCAAAGACCAAACTCCTCTGGGAACCAGCTCTTTCGCTGCCGCTACAGTGGCATCTGCCAGAGCAACGAGACTGAGACACCGCCCAAACTGTGGACTCCGGCGAAGAAACCAAGCAAGCAAGAATGACCGCCAGGCCGCTCGTCGCAGGATCAGAGCTCAGAGACACTTTGACTCTGGGGCTGAAGAACAAAGGCGTTTCGAAAGCTGGCAACTTGCCCAAAGCACTTTTCAGTTGGGACGTGAAAAGGATGCAGGCTGCTGGGGCCGATCTCCGCCTACTGTTTTACGGTCAGACAGGAAACTATATCCTTTCTACAGAGTGACAACGCGGCTACCAGAAGACGAGGATTTCGTCGCCCACCTGCTATGAGGATTTGGAGTCGCGACCTTGCCCCAAATACGGGCACAAACCATACAACTCTTACAGCCTCTGCCCGTGGTGGTTCTTCCGTGCTTGCTTCTGAGTTTCTGCAGTGCAGGTGAGGAACTGGGAAGACGCGGATACGATCACCAGAGCCCAACGACCCCTGGCCCGCAACAACAAAAAGACACGTCTCCTGCCTTTGGCTGCATCCGGATTTACGCAAGCCTTGCGGCAGTTGGACAAGGGACGCTTGCAGGACCAGGGCTCTAAGACTCTGACAGTCAGAAACTTTGGACTCGGATCATGGTCGCGACAACGAAGACGGCGGGATTCCCCGAAGAATACGCACACTGGGGCTGGGGGCTTGCGAGTCGTAGCAAAGCGTAGCAAAGCGCGCCTTGCAGAGGCAGACGAAGTTGAAGTTTTGCTTCCTCGGCTCTGGGAATTGCTGATGGTCGCGGAGGCACAGAGAACTGAGGTTTGGGCAGATATCTTCGCCGTGCAGGGCGCGCAAGATCACACCAGGGCTTTCCGATGTAGCTGATGGTCAGCTCCTGCCGACGCATGTCTCCGCCCGCTGGAGGCTTGGAGGCGACGGCGACACGACGGCGCGACGGGCGCCTCCCCGCAGCTCACCCCGCGCGTCGCCCGCAGCACCAGGCCCTTGGAGGCGCTCCTGCCCGGCGGATCTCCGGCGGCGTTCGGATCGGTCGGACACAGCATCAGTGGGTTTAGGCAGGCCGTCGCTGACCACTTTGGCGTGGTTTAGGCTGGCACCCGCTTTGAAGCTTAGAGGCGCTGTGCGTCGAGTGGCCAGGTCCAAGTGGCGTTCGAGAGCCCAGCACAGCAATGATTGCAGAAGGACACCTGCAACGACGCCGGCGCGACTTCTTTCAAGCGCTGTGGCGAAGTTCGGAGCACCCTTTCCCATCGCCACCTGGTGAAAGAGCGCGTCCCCCGCGGCAGGCGGTCGCGACTCCAGATCAACCACCTCTCGAAATTCGTTGAATCGGACCAACAGGCTGATGAACAGAACTTGAGCACAGTGGCACAGTCCCTTACTGGCTCTGCCAGAGTGAGCTCCAAACTGAAGCCACACAGCAATCAGAAGTGCCGACGAGTGCAGCGCTCGCCTGGAAGCCGTTGCGCGCCACGCGGGCTGCAACTGCGTCTATGCCTCTGGGCCCCAGAGGGTTGAAGAGTTAGGAGAAAAAAAGGGATGTGGCGTTCCTCTAGTGCAGCCGATCTGCCTCTGCATTCCCTTCCCCTCCCTTCCCTTTTTCTCTGCGTTCCGAGGCACGCTGGGCCAAAGCGGGTTCGCCAAGGTGTTCCTCGGATGAAAGGAGCACCGGCCCATTCTCAGAGCTGAAACCACAACAGGCGCGCAACAACCACAAAACACAACCACAAGACCTCCGAGCAGAGGTGCTGCTGTCAGCATCGCGAGCTCCGATGGCGATCCGACGGCTGCATCCTCGCCACCGCAAAGCTCCTCGATCGGCGCTGCGTCAACATGCAATGTGTGGAAAGCGTGAGCTGGCAAATGCTTATAGACTCCGTCCACAACTGTGCATGGACTCAGTAGACTGTATCGCAGACTTCTTACAAATGGCAGCGGTGCCTGCATCTCTCCTCTCTTTCCTTCCGCAAGCCTCTGATCGGCCGATTTCTCGCAAGCCGCGAGGTTGTGAAACCGTTCCGGGTCACCCCAGAACTCAGAACCCAACACTTTTACGCGATTCCACCAGCTTAGCTGGTGCTGAAGATGTGTCAGTGTCTTCGGCACATGGGGCCGCACTGCGCTAAGAGTCAGGCTGGAACGCTTCGACGAAAAACTGGAAGGCTTGAGCATGGCGTTCGAGAGAAACCGGTGAAAAGAGTTCACTTGAAGACGGTTTGCAAAGCCACAAGGCTTCTAGTTCCTATACGTTCCGCCTGCCCCGGGCTGACCCATCTGCCCAAGTTGTTTGGGCCTTCGGTCCAGGAGGGGCACCGGGCACCGGGCACCCTTTTCAGCAAACCACTCAAGCAACTCAAATGCGAGTCGGGGAGATGCTCCGGTGCCACCTGTCTCCGGCCCCTTTCAAGTGAGAGCGCCACCGTGATGCAAGCTGCACTTGAGCGAAGGAGTCGGGGAGCCCTCGCGTCGATACCCTGTTCGGCAAGTGACAGTGCTCCTGAACCCTTTCGCTGCGACATGCATTCCGATGGCTGAGGCTCTCGTGGTTGCCTTGAAAAGCGATTGTTAAAAAAATGAATTCATGCGGAGGGCCCAATGCCTTTTCTAAGCGAAGGCTGTGTCCACACGGACTCTGCCCACCACGGGGTTTAAACAATACAACAATGACAATGCCTTCTACGGTTTGAGACTTTCTCTCGAAGCCTCCGATACATGAAAACTTCGCGAGAGGATCCCAAATTTGAAACTTTCTGCTCGCCCCTATGGCAAGTGGTGGTCCTTAGCTCTCCCCTGGTTAGAGCGCCTATCTCACAATTTCACCACCGAACACGGCGACCTATTGCGAGTGGACGCTTGTGTCTTGGCTCACACGGGGCTTACGCTCTGGCTCGCTTTCTTTTCCGGTGCTGGCGGGCCTTCTCTTGCCGGTCAAAGGCTTCTTGAGTCAATTCGAAGCCCCGTCCAACCCGACCCCAGAAACTACGAAAGCCCAGCTGGCAGCCACGGTGCATGTAATGGGTCGTCCGCTGGCAGCATGGGTCTGGTCGTCGCTGGTTGCACTTCTCCGGAATTGCCTCAAAGTCAAAACGAGGAAGCTTGGGGAGAGGAAGTCTGCTGCCTTCCCTACATTCCCCGACTTCCCAGCCGAGCTGCTTGGGTCGTGGACAAAGGTTGTGGCCTGCGCTCTCTGATGACTGGCATCTCTACTACAACCGGTGTGAGCCAAGTCCCATGAAATCGAGCCCGTGCGTAATTTTGGCGATGCTCTGAAACCCGATTTCAAACATACCTTTCATGCACGCCAAGCTGGCTGGCAGGAGCTTTGTCGGCAGGCATGGGGGCCGTGTACATGTTCTCTCGTGTTCAAGAAGTGTCTTCTGCTAACCTTTCGCGAAGATTTAGGCTATGCTTCTGCATCCCGGCAAAAGTGCGTTGACATCCTAGAGCGACTCGCCAACCTTCTTTCCCAGCGAATTGAGCTCAACCTTGATATCGCGAGACCCCATTATTGATTATGGGTAAAGAGGTTTTGCCTGGTGAAGTTGTCTGAATGGGTTTCTTGCATTGTTCTGTCGGTAAAGCTGGCAAGAATAGGTGCCTTGATGTGCCGGAAGGCAGAATGATCGAAGACCTCCTGAATGCCTGCCGGCCAAGATGGAATGCAGCATGCTCGATGGCCATCTTCCCTAACGCCGGCGGGCTTGCATGTGTCCCTCGTACCCTTCTTTCTAGAGTCAAAACCATTCGGAAAGCCAGAAGAAGCAGAAATTTTCAGACAAAGTCGTAGTCGCCCTCACAAACCCCACCCCGAAGCCCGAAGCGCGCGCGCTCGCTCTAAGCTCTCCGAGGCCGCGGTGCTGGAGATCTTCCGCGCTTCCGGCGACTGCGGCTCCGCCAGCTCCATCGTCTCCTCGAGTCGAGGGAGCGATCGCGGCGTGGGACTCCGCACCCTCCACCCTCCGAGCTCCCCAGCTCTGCAAAAAAATACACGAGGGGAGAGGCCGACCTCCTTGTCGTCGCCCCGGAGAATGTGCAAGACCTCCTCGAAGAGCACCTCCACCTGCCCAGGCTGAGAGGGGACGACCTGGCCCGGCCCTGGCCTCTGTGGCACGGCCTTGGTCTCCATCCGCCAGATGTCGATGGCCTTGGCGTGGCCTTTCAGCCGCGAGGCGCCGTCGATGAATTCGTGGAGCCTCGGACGTGCTTGGACGTGCGAGGCGCGCATCTCTGGTCTTGTCTGGTGTGACTCTGATATCGCCGGGCTGCGTGATCTGACCATCACCATTGTCCTGCGACAGCAACGCAAGGTGTGAGAAGACACGGGAATTCAAAACTGTTCCCGTCTGCCACTCGCAACTCGCAACTCGGTGTCCAGGAACTCAAAGAGGGACAACAGGTCGTGGTACTCGAGCCTAGGCTGCCATCCGGATCGGCAGAAGCTAGACCAGCTCGGGAAGTCGCTTCCAAAAGCCGTGTCCCTTCACCCCTTGTCCAGCAGGGGCCACGACCCCCGAAAACTTTGGCAGGACCTAGTGTCTGCCGTAGAAGTTCAAGCGTGTGAATCCTAGGAAGCCTTTCGCGGCTTTGGCCTTCACAGGATGCCAACGTTACTCGAAATGTGCCCAGCAGCTCTAGCTGGCTCATCCAAAACCTGGGCGAGCACCACGGAACTCTTCACAGGATCTTGCATCACATCGCTGGGCAGATCCAAAATATCTGCGTAGCTCATGTTGAGCAAAGGGATTGGATCTAAGACAGTATCAAAGTAACCTGTGCGAAGCTTACACACAAATGTGGCAGTGGGTAATGGCAAGTGTGCGCAGGTTAGTGGAGTTGGAGTGGGCATGCCAGCGAGAGGGAAAGACGGAATGAGAATGGGACAGCGGGAGCACAGGTCCAAGTCCCAGTGCGAATCTGTCTGCGTAGTTGTGTGGACGCGCCATCAGTCCATGAGTGCATGATGCCACGAATCGAATCTACCGCCGACGACGACGACGACGACGACTGTAGCTAGCACCTCTTCCCCTCCCTTGAACAGCACTCCATGCCCGAAGCTGGAAACATATCCCGAAAATGACAAAAGCATGAAAAAAACGGCCAGCCCGGCCCCTGCCTCAGCTTCGGTGACTTCACCAACTTCCTGGTCACGGGCTCTGCTCGTCGGGCGTAGCTTCAGATCCCATGAATCGAAGCGCGCTGTGGAAATCCGCGTTTCGAAACGAATCGCAGAGGCTAGAGTGGGAGCATGCTTGCATGTAGTGTGGCTGACGTCCAGATGCCTAGATGCTCATCATGCACGCACAGCTTGCCAAGGCCATGCGCCGCATGCCTACCCCGAACTTCAAAGTGCACGGCGGGCGAGTCTCGAAAACTCGTCGAAGTTGATCGCGCCATCACCGGAGGAGTCCATGGTTGCAAAGAGCTTCTTCACCTTGCGGTGGTACCTCGAAGGAGGCTCGGAACAAAAGCGCGAGCTCGGCTCGACAGCCGAAGTGTCCCCCCAAACACTGGGGCGGCCGCATGGCGATGTCCTTCTCCTTCTGCTTGAAGGCCAAGTCCTCGTCCGAGCTCGCCGTCCTCAGCGGAGCAGGGGGGGGAGAGAGCCGAGAGCGAGGTCCCCCGAGTCCCCCGAGAATTACCGTTGGTTAGTAGGGGAGGAATGGGATACAATTATAACTACTCTTACTACCATTCTTCCATTCCCTACTAACCAACGGTAAGGAGTGGCCGAGTCCGAGCTCGCGGCTTCATGGTCTGCTGGACGAAGACGGCGTTCACCACGTTCAGGACCTCAGAAAAATCCCCAAACACCTCCCCATGCTCGCACGTCGGAGCCCAGACATTTGCATGAGAACGATTTCAGACAAGCTGCCGCAAAGCCAAGGACGCATCGATACAAGAGGAAGAAGATTGAGAACCACTCGCTGACCTGCGGTCACTGCGGCCACTGTGAAGGGCCAGAAGCCATCTCGTTTGTTTCTGGTCGCTCATTCGTGTAACCAAACTTCACGCGTCCAGGACCTCCGGAAACGCTTGAGCCTTAGCCTCAACTGCTCGGCCGCGGGGCGGGCTGACATTGTCTAATGTCATTCATTGTCTAATGTCATTCTCTGTATTCCAGACTGAACCCAGCCTTGCCGAAATCCTTGGGCAACCTCCCTAAAACTAAAGCACCGAGATGATCCCATCTTCCCTCTCTCTCCGAGCTCGGGGCATGCTCCACCAGCACACGACAGGGCGGGCTCCAGTTTGCAAAGAGAATTTCAAACCTTCGCATTCGATCAGCTCCAAAACGAAATAGCGTCTGGAGGCCCGGAGGTGCATTTGCGGCGAAGGGAGTTCTGCACGGATTTTGGGAGTACTAGTAGCTCTAAGTCGTCTTCAGGAATCATCCAAGGCACATGGAGAGGAAGGTCCGGCTAAAGGTGCCTGGCCATGAGGATGAAAAAGAAGGCTGAAAAGCGGTCGTACACTTGCCAATGCTGTTGCTTTTGTCTAGTTGATACCGTCCTTACCCTTGTTCACCCAAGCATAACCGTGTGCTAGTGTTCCGACTTTCTGACCAGCGGTATTGGTGCCGCTGGATGCTGCTAATGTCTTGCTGCTGCCTCTTTGATTGACTCTGTGGTTACTCCTCGCTGTTGCTCTTGGCTGTGCTACTGCCGTTGCGCAGGCGCTCTTGTTGCTTCCCGGCATGTCGTCTTGTGCTGGCCCCCTGATTCCAAGGTGGGTAGTTCAGTGATGCAGGCATCCTCACACGGAGATCTCCAGGAGGGGCTCCATACAAACCTGGGCATCCGGCCGTAGTAGCGAAAGACGTCTTCCCTGAGCTGGGCATCGAAGTTCTCGTCGCGCAGGTATTCCTGAAAAGGTAACAAAGAGAACTGCGAGTAACCCCTTTAACTTTAAACCCCTAAACAGCCCAAACCCTAAAAAACTAGCAGGCCACGGGCCACAGGCCACCCGCTGGGCCCTAAGTTCATCTAAGTTCATCCAAGGCTCCCAACAGAGGGTGCTCACGACCATCCCAGCGACGCACCTTAGAAAAACAGGGACACAGGGAACTCGAAGTCTCCCCAATGCTCAGTCAGGGAGGGGAGCTGTTTCGGGCCTCTTTGGGGCCTTTGGAGCCGCGGTGCCTTCAGGGTGCTCGAGAGGTGGGAGCATCTACATCTTCCTAAGACCAGCTCACACGCGAGCTCGTTCAAGCCACACATCTTTGAGAAAACACTAGAGGAACGCAGGCTCAAGCTGAATAAGCCGGGAGCTCACACAGAAGCGGAGCAGCCTCTGTTCATGGGAACCCGCGAAACCCTAAACCCTTCCAAGACCTGGTTTTCGCCCAGTTGCTGAACGAAAGTGAGCAGGCAAAAGCTCCAAAAGAGCCTCGGCAAGGTTGCAAACAAGCGGTTTCTCGAAGCTTCATGCACATGCCTGTGCATGCACTGGTACTGCTTTCTGCACCTTGTGCTGCTTCTCATCTGTCAAAGTCACATAAAGTCAGATGAAGTCAGCTTTCAACTTTTCAACTGCCTGCAACATACAACAGAGAGGCTCGAGAAGAGAGCCCTTGCCGTCGCCGGGAAGCATGTCCCTGCTCGCAGCCAGGCACTTGATCAAGAGCTGCAGGGATGCCTCAGCGACTTCACGGGCGACGGCGGCTCCAGCATCTGAAAAGACTGCGCTGCCAAAGGGCCAACACGCTGGTCATGGACACCACTCGGATGGCCCTCGTGAGCTTGCCCATGCGAAGGAGTCGGAAGAGGATCTCAGCGGCTGAGCTGCATCGGTCTTTGCTGCAGAAGAGAAGGGCACAAAAGGGGGGGGCACACACTTGGCACACACTTCCTCCTCTCCCTTAAAAAGGGGGGGACGGACCGGAGCGGCTCCGGCGGCTCCGGCTCGCAGCTCTCGCAGCCCAGCGGCGGGGTTCACGGGGAGCGTGTAGAAGGTGGCCGTGAGCTCCATCACCGAAATCGCGCTCACCTCAGAATTTCTCGGCCGGCCGCGCCGCGAAAGAGTGCGCAGTGTGTGTCTCAGAGATGCTCCCTCTCAGTGGATGGAAGCAGCAAAACCGGGCCTTACACCCTTTCAAGCCCATTTCGCGTCCGCCTTTCCTATTGCCAGGCTGCGATGACGTCGATGTAGTTCATCCAGCTCTTCCAAAACGTCCTCAGCTCTGCTGAGGGCTTGAAACTTTGGAACCCAACAGACAGGGCCGCAGGGCCACAAGTGGGTTCGCGCCAGAACCAATAGGCCGGTGAAAGAGTTTCAGTGCCGATGCAATTGCAAGCGATCGAGTTCCCGTGCGCCGACTTGTAACTTCTGGCGTCAAGCACAACTCGATAGCGAATCGACCAGGACATGCAGGACCGCGGCAGTTTTGCTCAGACAGATTGTGGGGCGCTCACTCCGAGAAATCGGCTTCTCAGTCTATAGCCTTCGTTACTCTCGGCGCTCACCGCGACTTTCCTTGACCACTCCGCTCGTCCCTCTCCGCCTTTTCTCTGCACCCCGAAGAGACTTGAGTCGTCGAGCGGCAGACCCAAGACAAGCACGCGCACCACAACGTCCAGGGCGAAGAAGCCTTCCGGAAAGCGGGTTTAGGAGGGCGGGCTTTGCTCTACCGATTTATGACACTTTCGAAACGGTCAGGATTGTCGAAGTTCGAAGCTCCGGACCCAAACACAGGCCACAGGTATGCAAACCCTGCATTCATCCTGCATGACTGGAGGAGCTCTCGCGAGAATTTAACCGCATCAGTGTTAGGCGACCTGAAGACGAGCTTAAGAAGCGGCGGCGAAGCTCGCCGTGGCAGACGGCCGTGGCAGACGACTGCATGCTGCAGGCCAAGACCGCAGACATGAGCCCCGCTCCTGCGAAGATCATGTCGCCGACGAGGAGCCAAGCCTTTAGCCGCAAAATGTGCAGCGAAGAGAAGACGAGATGTGGAGATGTGTTATTGAAGAGGGGGGTGCCCGTCGGCTCTCGTCGGCTCCGCGGCCGAGCGGCTTCCCAGGTCGGCCAGGTGTCCTGGAAAGGGGGGAGAGCAGACAGCGACCGCGGCTCTGCCCCCTCCCCTCCGGCTTCCGGTCTCTCTCTCTCTCGCGGTCTCTCGCCTTGGGCATCAGCGGCGTCGGGAAGACGCCGATCTCGAAGCCCGCCATGGAGCCGTGGACCTCACGGAGCGGCGGAGCTGAGCACAAAGCAGGCGCGGCTGGACATCTCCAGCTCTTCTCACGTCTCTCAAAAAAAGACGAGCCATCGCTGACTCCGCACATCTTCGAAGAGCACCCCGGGTCGGCCCGGGCCGCCTGGAGCTCGAAAGCCATCCACAGCACCTGTTCGGCACTTGCTTGATCCGGCAACATCATTCGAAAGCACAGCGAACCAGCTTCATCCTCCACACATTCCACTCCCACACCCCGGAAGACCCCCAAAGACCCAGGAGAGTAGAGCATTCCCGAACTTGAAAACCTACAGTATCTTCACTTGCTGAGAACTGTGCAATGCTCAATCACTTCTGCCAAACTCCTCAGCTGAAGGAGCCATGAACCCTCCCACACCCAGCAGCACGTTGATGCACAACGCGCAGGAGATCAGAATCCTTAGCTGCACGGTCACGAGCTTCCAGCATGTGCCAAGCATCCAGCCGGCTTCTCCCGGGGTTATCCTAAAGTCAAAGCCGAAAGACAGTCGCCGAAGACCCAAAACCCAGCTAAACCCAGCTATCACCAACCCCAGAACCAGTCCCAAGTCCCACCAAGACCTGCCTGGTCCCTGCATAATTTGCAGAGCATCTCGAAGCTGTTTGATTGCAGCCAGGCTTTCAGCCTGGAGGAGCGCGGCGCAGTCTCTTCAAAACAATGTAAGGCTAACCAGATACCTGCAACAACCTCTGTTTCAATCTTCAGTACTGTACCGAGAGTGCTGGTGCTTGCAACACGTCCAGCCCATGCAGCAGTATAGAACTTAGAAGGAGATGAACTTCATCTCAAGCAGATAGCAACCATCACCGGAACAGGCGGGGAGCTTCTGCCGGGCGCTGAGGCTCCGCCATCGCTTCAAAATGTTGGATTCCGTCTCCTCAGCTACCACAACGGACTGCAGAGAAGCATTCGCGGCAAGGATGGGATGAGTGGACTCATCCCACTGTGCTCGTTTCTGCCCTGCTGCAGTCTGACTTGCAGCTGGGGACTGCAGTGATGCACATGCAACAGCAAGGAACTGCAAGGAACTGCCTACCGTCGTTTCCGTGCCGGCCGCGGCTCCGAGAAGAAGCCAAACCTCGGAGTCAGGGAACTGGAAGCTTGAGGATCTCTCAAATTCAAACGGGCGGCGCGATTTCACAGCAAGGATGATGCCACGGTCGAGATGTGCTACCACTACTTACTGCTGCCACCACCTCTCCTGATCGGATTGCTCGAGTTCGATCGGGCCAGCTGGAGGGCCCTTTGACGCAAAAGCCCTCGAGAGCTGACTCGCTGGTGTAAATGTAGGTATCGTGCAGCTTGAACAAAGAGGCCCGAGAACACTCCCACAAGATCTCACAAGCCAAATGTCTGCCAAGAAGGGCCAAGCAGCGTGGCAGACGTCTGCTGACGATTGCCTGGCTCCACCACATCAGCTGAGTCCTTTGCGTCACCGAATGTCTGTTGGAGCGTTAGACGGTGCGAGTGGAGGCACCAAGTTACAGGTCGTTTATTGAGGCTTCACTTGGCTGCCCGGACGTGCACAGCCGCTAAACCCGCTCAGCGGATGCCAATGGAGCTTCCAGCATCTCCAGCAGCTCTCGGTCGACAGAAGCGGCAGATTTCTGCGAGGGCGCCGAGTTCACGGCGAAGGCCTCGAGGACCTGCACGTAGGCACACGGACCGAAAGAGATGTCCGTCCGTCATTCAGTCTCAGAGCGCACGACGCGCCGCTGCCGGGCATGTGGCTCCGCCTTGCCTTGTCGGCGTTGACCTCGGGCATGCCTTGTCGCTGCCGACAGAGAAGCCTCAGCTTGCGAGTTGCGGAACAAGCGAGCGGGAGAGGAGTCCTGCGCAGAAGCCTTCGGGGGGGCGGGGGCTGCCTCTGCTTTCTGCGGCTCCGAGCGGCTGCTGCGACGTCGTGGAGCCTCGCCTCAGACGGACTCGGCTCGCTCGCGGCATGCGTATCCGCTGCTCCGTCCGTGCTGCGGGCTATGCCGCCATGCACTGTGAGGAGACAAGCAGCCAAGTAAAGCCCTGCAAAAACACCTGTAGCCCACAGCATCCTGCTCCCTTGAACACGAAAAGCAGGCATGCTGCATGCTCACAAGCAACAAGGAGATCCTGCCAAGGATCCCAAGTTTCAGCTTCGTCGGCTCCTGCGACATCGTCCCGACCTCGCTGCCTGCCGACGGGCACAAATGAGGGCTGCTGGCAAGCCAACTCTGTCGAGATAGTGCTTCCTCTGTCCGGAGCACAAGCGATGCCGCTGCATTTGCAGTTTGCAGCCTGGAGTGACAACCCCGTTCGGCGAGTAATTGGTCATCTGCGTGGGCGTGGACCGGGAATGTGGGAGGTTCCTTGCAGCTCGGCTTTCAGAAGCGACAACGGGATTCGTGCAGACTGGCCATCTCTTTCCAGAGAGTCCAAGAGGCTTCTGCAGATTTCTCGCAGCATCGGCATTGTCCATGGAGCGACGAATGCGCTTCGCACTGCGCTCCGTGTCCTGGGGAGTCGTCGGAGGGCTTCTGTCTGTTCGAGTTGTATTTGCACCTTGTGAAATACAAGTACCACACTTCAGCAACCTCTGTTCAAATTAGACATGCCTAAGTCAATGTGTTGATGCAGCGCAGCCTTCGGAAATTGCTTCCGTTTCCAAGCAAATAAGCCTGCTCCTGTCCCGAACAGACAGCCCTTATTGCGCCTACATGGGCCTGTATGAGGAAGAAGGAATCAAGCTCCAAGTGTGAGCATAACAGCTGCGCCGAGTGGCTCGAAGCTCAGTGACATGCTGCTGCACCTGACGGGAGCGGCGGGAGGGAGCTTTCGGCTTTCGGCTCGGAGTCGCCAGGGCCCAGGCCAGTGCGTCGAGCAGCGACTGGAAGGCTTTCGTCAGCTTCGGATTCCTCCAAAGCTCGCATGGTCTTTGCAAGACAGCACAGCTGCGAGCTCGAACCTTCTCTCCGGAACTGCGTCTGGCTGCCCCGCCCTGTCCGGCAACTTGCCTCACAGGCCGAGCTGGGAAGCCCTGAGCCCTGACACGCGACTTCTCAAGCCAAGGTGCGGGGGAAGATCGCGGACTTGTTTGTAGCATCTGACGTCCTTGGGCGGAAAGGCATGGGAAGCTACGGGTGGGGGGGGGGACATTTCCAGCAATCAGGCATCTCAAGGTTCTGAAGGCCCTTCTGCAAGCTTCTAGAAAAGCAAGTGTTCGGCATGTCACAAAAACAAGAAGACATGCACAGAGTGCTGCACACAGGGAGACACACGATTTATGCGCCACGCATCGTCATCTCCATAGAAACCTCTGATAGAGGTGACATGACCTCAGATAATGCAAGTTTGGGTTTGGTGATGGCCTTCGGATGTCGATGGGTTGAAAGGTATGCGGCAACTGCCTCCGAGCCACTGAGGCTACCGAATGATACCCTGACGCCCCTGAGACTGCAGAGGCAGCCGACGCCGCCCCGGGCAAGTCTCGTCCAGAGTAGCCGGAGGTCGAGGACACGGAGGGCAAGGATTTCTGCGAGGGCCCAGCCTGCCGTGAAGAAAGCTTGCTCGTCTCGAGAGGCGGCTCTGAACGGCCGAAGCATCCCGGCGTGGCCTGAGGGCTCGCGGCAGCTGATGGCCTCAGCTGTCTCTGAAAGTCCGAACGTGCAGGGCGAACAGTACTTCATGGCATGCGGCGCACCATGAGAGCCGTAGCTCTGCACGCAAGGTACGGAATACGAGGCTACTTGCTCCGAACTAGGCTCCTTGCCGCAACTTGTCTAATCAATCTTTTGCCAAGCTGCAGGAATGTCAGCGGTGTGTGCACTGGAATCACCACGCCTGGGAAGCTAGCGCTATGGTCTTGCTGGATTCTGCAGGGGATGCAAAGTGAGGATTTGCCAACGCAGGAGCCCTGAAAAGATCCTTCTCTGCTCGTACACCTCTCGGAATTTCGGATCCGCGTGCAGCACTCCCAAATTCAGCTCCTTGCAGCGCAGTCAAGCTCCTAAAACGCCACCTCGCAGGGGCTTCATAAATAGAAAACGGAAACTGAATACCCAAACAGACTTGATCACTGCCTAGGCTTTCCAGCCATGCATGGAAACGCGTAGGTTTGTCCTGACGATTGCTTGCGATTTCCTTGCTCTGCTGCGATGGCCCAGACCCTGTCGTAACCCTTCAATTCGTGCTCAAGCTGCCGGGGCTTTCTGTGGAGAGCTCACTTGCGAGGATTGCTTCGTCCTCCTGGGCACGGAAAAAAGGCAATGACGAAAGACTGAGACGCTGAAGCAGCACGAATCTCGAAGCATCGATCATGTCAGGTCAAACAAGAACACCGGCGCTTCTAGACGCAAGCAGCTCACCCCAAAGCCTGAACCGCCAGCACTTTCGCCCAAGGCGCTACAAGCGCACGGAGCACGAGCAATGTGGCAAACAATTACCGGAAGCTACTAAAGCAGACCGGGCAGCATCCGGTTCGCTTGGCTGGACCTCGCGAATGTCGGGGAGGGCATAGAAGCTGACCTGAGAAGTCGACCGCGGGGCTGCAGCAGCCCAAAAGACGGATGTCTTTGTGAGAATGGCCAGTCACACCAATCGTAATCCGGCTCTAGCGGCCATCGCGGCGGCTGTAGCCACGCGAAATCACGCGAAAGACGCCAGGACTGATCCAGTGGCAAGGAGCGGAGGTCCCGAATTGGTTGAGCTTCTTGTCTTCTTGTGCGTATTATATGGGTACAGCGGGTGAACATCCGGGGTGAGATCTTGCATCGTGCTTTTTGTGCCAGGTTTTTGCACACTAAACCGAACAACCTGGCAATGGTGGCGGCTTGGAGGCTCATGGTCCAGTCTGCAGGGTCTCGAGGTATTCTTGAGTAAGAACGGCCACATCAAAGGCATTCTGGTCCATGTGGTCCGAGTACAAGCACGGGCCACACCGGCTGGTGGCTAGAGACGCGGACATCTAAGCATGCCCCAGAACAGCATAGTACGCATCGGCAAACTCTTCAGGTGTCGAATTGCTCCTATCAACCAACCCCCAGTTTCAGGGAGAGGCTGAGAGGCTGAGACTCCTGAAGCTTCTGGCGCGCAGGCGCGGAAAGCGGATGGAGACCCTGCGCCGATGGAATCACAGAGGCTCGTGCGGTCAACTTCTACATGGGAGTGTGTTCCCTAAAGCAGCCTGCATCAGGGTACCCAGATTGCTGAACGCATACGGCATCCCTGTGCAGCGAGCTCGAATGTGTTGGCGCATGTCGTACTTCACCATTAGATGGCAAAGCGCCTCGGCTGGACCTCTGTCAGCCCCTGCTCTAACATTGCGGTCAAGGCTGATGGTACGACACGCTCTGGATCCGAAGTCTTTCACGAGGCAGTCCCTCTGAAGATATATGCTGTCCCACTGGGCAGTGCCAGTCCTAGCATGGCAGAGCTCAGCACAGCTCACAGAAGCAGCTACAACCGAAGTTCCCAAACCCCAAGTGCCAGAGGCCACTACGGCCAGAGGCCCTAGTTCTCGCCTCCGGCCGACGCGACTGCGGGAACTCCTTCCAAGGCGGTCACGCGCAGGGTACCGGAAGCGGGTTTTCTAAAGGTGGCTTGGTTCTTCACAGCTTTACCAGTCGTGAAAGCGCTGTTCGATGTGAGTCCCAAGAACCCCGTACGTCCCGATGCCACTGCCGAGAAAGGGCTCATCCAAAGGCCACTGCCGCTGTGCTACGCGATGAAAACTCGCAGAAGCTCAGTGGCTCAGCTGCTCGTGCACTGAAAGTTTCCTTCTCATGAGCCTGTGAGCCCCGTAAGAGAGATTATCTCCAACTTTGGAAGAGGCGATGCTTTTTGCGGTTCCCACCTCCTCGGTGAGGCAATGGACCTCAGCGACTCAGAAAAGTCAGAAGAGCACTTCGACCGCTCTCCACTTCGACAAAACGCACATTGCCGAAGTCTGAAGAGCCCCAAGCACCGCCACACCTGGACACGAAGACAAAGACGCTGGAGTCTGGAGGGCCTAGGGCGTCTCGCTCGGCTTGGGCTCCTGCTGCCAGGCAGAACCTCGGAGTCTCTCACTTTAGAGAAACGCTCACCGCCCAAACTTTGGCCACAAACTACAAACGCTTCAGAGGCACTTACAAAGACTCAGCCTCTCAGGACCAAAAAAGCGAGTGAGATACAAGATGAACATGCTGGCAGGTGTCAGAAAATCAGCTATTGTACGAGCGCGGATCTTGGCTGCTGGCAAGCTCTGCTGGCATGTTCACGCTTGGTGGTTTGCAGAATCGGAATTTCTTGTGCAGAGCAGGCCACCGTGTTAGCGCTTTTCTCAATCTGCACTCGTGCGCATGAGCTTTGTGTGCATGCATGTGGGAATCTAACCAGGTACGTCATTGATGCACATCTAACGTCATCAACCTGTATCACTGCGATTCACTGCGTGCATACACAGATCGGGTGTACATTGACAGACTACATACAAGCTGGGCGTGCTCTGATAGGAACAAGAAGAGGACAGCAGTCGGCGCCACAAGCACATATTGAAGCAAATACTGTCTAAGGTAAAGTGGCAGTGCCCAGACGAACCACGTAAGCTTGTACCTGCACGTACCCAAGATTCACCAGATTAGGGAGAGAATGCGCCGGCACCTGGAAGTGGCTAGCAGCAGTAGCTGGCACTGAAGATGACAGGCTGGACGTGATACAACGCAAGCAATGCAAACAAATTGTCAGGCAACGAAATACGCATCAAATGTGATACTGTAGGACACCTACTTCACGCACGTGAACAACTGCAACTGTGTCGAGCTTCCGCTGTCAAGTTCCGAGTCCTGTGCTGCCATGCGCAATCCTGGCTCTCGACATGCTCATGACCAGGTTCAGCACAGTCTGCAACAAAGCTCTGAACTACACACTCATGTTTAGCGTCAAGACGTGTACTGCAGATGCTTTGCACATCGGTTCCACGGGCCCCACCTCACTGAGCGCCCTCAGAGCGGAGCGAAGTGTCTGCGAGCGTGCAAGGCAGGAGAACGTTATGCTCTCCCAGCAGACATCTCGTTGCACGTTTTCTACTGTAACTTTTCTACAAAACCTTTTCAGAAACGAGTGCTCGAATCCTTCGTATGTCTGACCGGCAGTATGACCCCTTGAAGATGACCACTGCACATCAACACACACACACACACACACACACACAATTTCACCAAGAGCTCTGTTTAATCAGAGCTCCGCTGGTTTAGGCTTCCAACGATTGAAGCGAATTTAGTACCGTGAGGCCCCGGAAAACCGCTTCTGTGCCTGGGCCCAGGGGAGCTCCCGCGATGGGACGAGCAGTGCCAAAGGCGACTCTTGAAAGATTACCTCAGCCAAGAGCTACGTTCGGACCATCGAAATTGAGCTTCTCACTGGCGCGAGTTTGCTGATGCGGGGAGCTAAGCAAATCCAGCATATACACCACCGAGGCTCAAAATCCTGCTGGCCACAATGCTAAAGACAGTGCTCCCAAATCTACCGGACCAGCAGTCCCCGCCCTTGTAACATGAGTGAGCCTCATATCATTCAATAGTCATGTTTATGCTGAGTCATGCTGCTTCACCCTCGCCAATGTCGCGGGCTGCCAGCGTGCGCTGGCCACGGTCCTTGCAACCCCTGCGTCGGTGCAGTCACGAGGTTTTGCAAGAATGAAATACACTTTGTTAAAGCTCACATTATTGGATGCCGGTGCACAGAGTCCAAGGTCCTAGTTAAAAAATGCCGCTAGCCGGCTGTAGATTTTTGTCCAATCTCGCAAGCCTTGCCGGTTTTCAAGCGATGGAGACCTCCTAAAGCCTCGCGTGTTGGCACTTCACGTCGTTCACGTCACATGTCGACCTCCTCCCTCGCCCAGTCCTCCGAACCTTCAATGCAGACGGGGGCCATGGCCATCCCGTGCCTCCTTGGTTTGTGTTTTGCAAAACCAACCTTAATAGATGCTGTTGTGTCACAATCGTTGATGGGTGGCAACTCCTGAACAATGCCACGTCCTTTGCGTTGCAATGCATTGTGACGAACTGGTTCTTCTTCTGCTTGGATGCCACGATGTCGCATTTGCAACCCTTCGAACGGTCAAGCTAAATGCAATTTTTACCAACAACTTGGATGCAACAACTTCCCCACACCAGTCTCCAGCTTGAGGCCACAAGTTGCAAGCCAATTCTTGCGGTAGCTCGAAATGCTGATATCCATGGCAAGTGGTGGAAAGCATCACTAAAAGCTCTACCAAGCAATTGCTGATCAAATGTAGGAAACCAACAGGGCTGCAAAATTCGGAGGAAGCCATTCAAACAAAAATGAACATTTTCTAAATGTGAATGTTGGAGCGGTAAAGTGAGTGAGTGAGTGACGATTAGCGCATACGGCGCAGCCTACCTCCCACGTCCTTCTCAACATCTCGGGGGGGGCTCCGAAAACGTCATAGCCCCCCTCCGTCACAGAGTTCACGTGGGGGAAAAAGTAGTTAATGCAGACAAGCAACTGCCAAATACCGTTAGGCTTAACTGTCGAACCAGATACCCGTCTTGCAACCAAAAACTTGGAGGAATCACAACACAAGTGAGCTGTACATGCATGCGGTAAGCGTAGAGTGCCGGACGCCTTCACACCCGTGACCCGATACATGGTGTCTAACTTGCCCATAAAGTTTACAAAGCATGGAGCAGTGTGACAATACACCCCCTCCACCCCCAATTGTACGTTCCGATTTGGCAAACAATACTATGGCTAGACGGTCCCCACGACACGATTGCAGAACAAGGAACACTGACTGTAACGAAGTGAGAGGAAAGGGGTGAGGGGCCATGAATGATGAATGGGTTGGGTTGGAACCATGAGTAGCTGTAGGAATATCCGATCCAGCCATCAACAGCCTCCTGGAATACTAGCAGGCAAGTATAGGAATCCATCCGGTAGCAACAGTCACGAAGGTAACGGGGGCGTAGCAGCAAGGCCAGTGCCGAGGGAGCTAAGCTCCAGCACCGAAGGCACGCACGAGGGCGACCCAAACGCGCGCGCCATGTGCCGAAGGAACCGAGTTCCAGCACCGAGGGCGAACACCAGGAGGGAAGTTCTTAGTAAACAAGGCCGCTGCCGCGATGAACGACTACTGTACTTGCCATGTCCAAACGAAGTTGCAGTGCTAGCGGCGGATGTGGTTGAATACCCACAAGAACTCTCCACCACACATGTCGCCCAAATGTACAAACGAGCGGTTGATACCTGAAGTAGTTGTGGACAAGCTCACATGAATACCTTTGGACGCCGATTGAGCAACCAGTCCTGCGTCTAGACAGTTCCGGTGACATGTACGGAAAAATATCAAACAGTAAGAAAAGAAAAGTAACAATGCCCGCCGCCTACAATACTATCATGTCAAGAATTAACCAGCAGCATGGAGCCGGCAACCAACACATCATGGTCCATGGAAGGCATACAGTGTCAGTCATGTGTTAGAGCCCTCCAGCGAGCGTCGGCACTGTCGCCCTAACTGGCCCTAACAGGGGGCCATCCCTTAGTGCCGCCCCCGGGGTCTACACCCACCCTTGAAATCCCTCAGCCCGTGCGACTGCTCCCACCTGCAGCCCACGTCCAAA